AAAGAGCTTGCCAGGAAGGTGTGTGGCCTCGGCTTAGTCTAGCCAGTGCTCCGTTTTCCTGAGAGATTTGAGAGTTAGGATTCTAACACTTAAAAACTAAACTTGCTACTCCCCTTTCATTTCTGTCTTTCATTTGCTTAAAAGATGGCCATCTTAAAATTAGGTTCCAAACACAAGCTACAGAAAATTTCCCTCCCTCTCTGCCTCCCCCAAACCCCAGCCCAGCTGAGCTCTAGGGGGAAGCCAGCTTATCAGGCAGAATTGGTGGTGGTTGAGGGCTGAGCTGTGGGGACGCCCTGCAGAGCCTGGCGCTCAGCAGGCATAGGTTAGAGTCTGTCCTTAACTGAAGGTCAGGCCACTGAGGTGTCAGCATGTGGGACCTTGGTTGGGGGGGCGGTTCAGGTGCCGGCTCTCATGGTCCCCGTTTTATTCCCCTTGTGAGGGGCAGCCAGGAGAGAACATGGACTGTGCTGAAGTCTGAGCTGCACAAAGAAAACCCTGGTTCCCTGTGGCCAGGAGGAGAGGGCTCAGCTGCCCAGCGCGGCTCCGTCCTGTGGTCTTGGGAACTTTTATGATGCCCTAATTATACCTTTTACCACTTGAAAACTTCCTGAAATCCACTCTTCTATTGAAACAATACCTATTGAAAGAATACAAAAAGAAGGTAAAGGCAAGCTTGGCTCCTGTCTTCCAGCACCTGGCCGAGCATGTGGACACGCCTCAGCTGGCCTCCAGCTTTGAGGCCACCATCAATAAGTTTGATAAGAATTTTTCAGCCCATCTTCTTGACCTCCTGGCCCGACTGAGCATCTACAGTACCAGCGACTGTGAGCATGGCATGGCCAGTGTAATCTCCAGGTGGGTATGGGAAGCATTCCATTCAGGGACACTGTCCCTGTCCCCTGTGACTATGAGGCCCAGGCTTCCCTCACTGGCTTCCTGCTGCCTTCTCTCACCTTCACCCACCCTTGGGTCACTACAGAGAACCTGAGGCCAATTCTGCTCAGGTGTGAGGGCGTCTGTCCTTGGCCTCCTTATGCTGCTGCTGTTCCCACGTCACTCCCTGAAGTGACAACACATATCTGTTCCCGAGTTTGTGCATTCCCCAATAAGAGGCAGGCCACCTGGCAGTGCCCCCACCATTGGTTCGTGTCTGTGGGCCTACGGCAGCTTCACTCACCGCTGTGCTCCTTGAGCCAGGATCCAGGATGCTGGAAAAGCCCCCTTCAGCCTCCTGCCCTGGGTGCCGAGCAACAGTGTCATCCCCAGAGTCAGATGAGCAGTGAGGAGGGGGCCAGGGGAGATGGGACCGGAGGGGTGTCCCTGCCACCTAATGCAGCTTTGGCAATGTCAGCCGGCCAGGAAATCACTGGGGGCAAACTGGGTCAGGGCAGCACTTGGTACACTTGCCATGTTTGGGTGCTCGGGGCTACCCATACCTCCCATATCACCACCCTGGATATGGGGGTGCATGCCTCAAGACTGAGCGGCCAGTGTGCTGGTCCCATGGGTGAGGAGGAGTTGATGGAACCCAGGAGTTCCCAGTGAGGAGGACAGATCTGCATGGAGACCACAGGGCAGGTGGGCCTGCAGGCTGGTTAGCGTTTGTGGTTCTGGGGCTGGGAATTCCTGCTACCCCACAGAGCTGGCTAGAGTCCTAGGTGCCCAGCTCTCTAGCTTCCCACAAGGCTGTCCTTGTCCTGGGAAGGTGCCTATTGTTTGGTGACCTCAGGACTGAATGTTGGGACCACCCAGTGTCCTGTGCCAACCACAGGCATCCTGAGCTCAGGGGGTTTGGAGGCACCCCCAGCCCATGGTACCCTCAGGCCCTTGCTACTGGGCAAGACCAGGTGACTAGAGAGCCCAGCATCCAGGAGCTGAGAGGGGGGACCAGTGCTCTGACAGTTGTACTTAAACGTCTAGTTAGAGGTCTCAGTTGTCTCGCTTTTAGTTTTCATGTGTTTTTATTCCAATCTCAGTGTTACTTGAACTGGTGAAGGCTGTGTGGAACGTGAGGCCTGTCTGGGTCAGGGCAGCACTTGGTACACTTGCCATGTTCAGGCGCTTGGGGCTGCCCACACCTCCCATGTCACCACCCTGGAGGTGTGGGCAGCCCCCCAAGTGCCCGAACGTAGCAAGTGTCTAATCAATGCACATGTGTCTATGTGTACGTGCACATGTGTATGTGTGTGCATGAGTGTGTGCATGCTGGTGGCTCATGCGCCCCTTGTGCCCAATGCAGAGCCAGCCCTTCACCCATGGGGAGGAAATGGGGTCTCTTGGCCACCACAGGGTGGGTGCCCTCACACCCGGGCATCTGCAGGAGCAACCCTAGCCCTACCCTCACCCCACAGGCTCGACTTCAATGGCTTCTACACAGAGCGCCTGGAGCGCCTGTCTGCAGAGAGGAGCCAGAAGGCAGCCCCCCAAGTGCCCGTTCCACGGGGGCCCCCAGCACCAGCGCCCAGGGTTGCCGTCACTGCACAGTGAAGCTCTTGGAGCCCTGCACCCACCACAACTGAAAGAGGGACGTATTGGGCTGGTGGGTGCTGTTGCAGATAAATGAGTTCAGGGTTTCTAAATAAATATTCCTGAAATACATGTGTCATGTGTGCTGTTACCATTTAAGTATAAAGTCTGAATATCATCTGTGCTCAGCTTGTCTTCTTTCTCAGGGCTCAGCAGCCTCCCAGACCAGAGTGGCATCCTCCACAGTGTGCTTACCTGTGAGCCCACTTAAGTAGAGCAGAGGCACTTTGGGGATTTTGTTTTTTGGCCTCAAAGAAAAAGTGCATTTGAACAACATCAAGATAATTGGCAAGATGCCTTGTCAGGGGCGAGACAGGCTGGGCTCCCTGGAGTCTGCCAGAACCCCTTAAATTCGAGGGCTGGGGTTTGCTTCTGGCACTAGGGGGCAGCAGCTCCTTGTCCTATACGTGAGTGAGTCATGAGGCTATCCCACTGATATGCATCCTGGGGCTGTGGCATAGTCCTCTGTCCCCTTAGGACTGCCCATGCAGGACAGCCCTGAGGTGGGGGCATGCCCACCCCATCTCATTCAACCGACTTGTGGCCTCCCCATCTGGCAGTCACTTGCCCTCACTATTCCCACTTCCTCAGTTTGTCAATGGGTGGCACACCAGCCCTGAGTGATGCTGCCATGAACACCTCTGGGCCACTCTGCTGGATCTCATGCATGTCATTTTTGAAATTCAGTTCAAACCACCTGCTCCAGTGGCCTCTTTGGCAAATGAGGAATGAGACCCAGAAGCAGCCTGGGCACACAGACATTGTCCCCTTGGGGTGTGGGAGTGAGTGGCTCTCATCCTGGGCTGCTGCCCTGCACAGCTGGGCAAGCCACAAACTTTTGTGCAGGTGTGACCTGTGAGCAAGCAAGCTTATTTGCCAACCCACATTGCCAGTCATGGTGTTAGCAATGTGGGGACTGAGCAGAGGAATGCCCTGGCCCTCAATGTGGGGCCTACTGCCTGGCCCTGAGGCACAGATACCCTGTCCCTGCCTTGGGCTGCACCTCCAGGCTGCAGGTGGTGACACATCCAGCAGCATCTGCCAGTGGTTGGGGACCAGTTAGGTGTGTCCTGTGGGCTGCATGGGGGTTCCTGTGTCGTAGGAAAACCCTGGGCCCGAATAGGTCCTGGCTGCTAAATTTTTGCTGTCAAACAACTTGGAACATGTGACTAAGGAACAAGAAAAACTGCTGGAGGGCTTGGGGATCACATGGCATTTACAACAGTCATGTGTAAGCTCAGGGACAGAATCCCCATGGGCCTCCCCAGGAGCCCTGCGTCCAGGCCCAGTTGTGTCCACACTGCTGCTGCGGCCAGGACTTTCCTGTCACCTCTGCCCCCAAGATGCCCCCAAAATCTGTGCCAGCCCTAATGCCTTTTTATGCCATTCCCTTTGGGGGAAATAATGGGCCACTGAATTTTGATCTCTGGTCTGAAACCACCTGTGGACACCACAACCTCTCACTTGAGTCCCTGACATGCTCTCACCCCAGCAATCCAGGGAGCATGTTTGGAGTGGGGGGCAAACCCATATTGCTCAGCTGCAGGAAGCCTCGATCCCCAGGTGCAGACCCACCTGGAGAAGCCTCAATGTCAGGCCAGCGTGGGGTCACCCCATGAGGCAGGACAGGGAGGGCAGAAAGGAGGAGGTCCCAATGGGCAGGCTGCCTCCACTGCTATGTAGGGACCCCCAGAGCCCGGCTGGGGTAATCCCCATGGACAAGCCCACCAGGGTCTGAAGGTGAAGTGGACTGGAACCCCAGGTGCTCCCCTCCTCAGTGAGGCCTCTAGCCCCCATTTGAGCAAGACGGGGCCCTGGGTGGATTTCACGCTGCTGCAGAAGCTTTCTGTTCCTCAGGAAGTCGGGGTATACCCCCCTTCGGGCCCCACCCCTCTTTCTCCCAGACAGCGTTTCACAAGTCACTTTCCCCACCAAGGCCCAGCCTTGAAGGGAGGGGCTTAGATTAGTCTGTTCACTTCCCTCTCACCTAATTTGACCCACATTTGTGAAGCTTTTCCATGTGCTGGACAGAGGACATGGTCCAGGAGCCCCCTGGGGACCTTCTAGAAGTAGCCACAGGAATACCAAGGAGTATCAGGGCAGGAAGGACGCAAGGGGAGGGAGGGACACCTTTACCAAGGTGCCCCAGACCCCGCCCCTCCGGGCCTCCGGAGGACAGATCCTAGTGGGCGAGGCTGGTGCCGGGGGCGGGGCCCCCAGGAAAGAGCCTCAAAACCCAGCGCCGAGATCAGAGGTGTCCGAGCCCAGAGCCACATTCCTGCTCACCTGTTCCTTCGGATCCTGGATCCCTGGATTCTGTTTGCACCTGCTGACTCCGGAATCCCCATCCGTGCCCTCGGACCCAGACTCCTGGACCCATATCCACATCCCTCCCCATCCCCAGACCCCCAAATCTTTGTGACCCCAAAGTCTGAACGCCAGACCCCTGGACTCCGGTCCAGGCCCTGGCCATGCTCCGCCTCGGGCTCTGGCTGCTGGGCGTGTGGTGGCTGCAGGGTGAGTACTGGGCATGGGCTGTGCCAGGTGTGCGGGAACTGCTGCCCCGCCAGAGGCGGCACCTGGCCTGTTCCGGCGCCTGCTCTGCGCTCCTTCTGGGTGGGCACTCAGCAGGGAGGCCCTGAGGCCGGCAGGCCTTCTAAAGGGAAGGGGGAAGCGGTGCTTGGGGCGTTTCCTGGGCTCCTAGTCGGACGGGCTGGTATAGAGCAGGTCCTCCTGGGGAGTGATTGCCCCCTCCTACCGGGACCCCTCACCGCGGTGGGGGAGGGAGGACTGCGGAGCAGTGGCCTGGAGCTGGGGGGTTCTAGCCACATGAGGACCGGCCCCGCCTAGGGAGGACCCAGCTTGCTGCTGGCTCTGGCCCCACCCCGGCTCCCGAAACCTCCTGGGCTGGGGTTGTGGAGTGAGGTCCCAGCCCCACTCTGGAGGCAGCCAAGAGAGTGACTGGGGGCAGACAGGGCTGGGCTGCCCCCACCCACCCGGGGCCTCTTACACCTGGAAGTTTGCAAGATAAGGGTCACAGAGACACCTATTAATACCTTAAAAGAGGAAGGACAGGGTCTTGGGTGGCTGGTCTCCAGCACCCAACTCTGGTCCTGCCCTGCTGTTTGTTGTTGAATACCCGGAAGCTCCTAGATGCCAGGGAGGCTGGTTGGCTCCCCAGTTAGATGCAATGATGTGGTGAGTTTGTTGTAGGCAACAGGAACGACGCTGGGTGTTAGTCCAGGGGGGTCAGACTGGACTTGGGTTCAGCAACCTCAGGACTTGGGTTCTGGCTGGGAAAGAATTCAGAGCCAAGACCTAAACCATAAGAGAACATTTATTTCATTAATCACAGAGGTGGACGAAGTAATTCCTAGAAGAAATGGGCTTAGGAAAGTTATAGAGGCAAAGGAAGGGCCCTCAGAGCTTGGGAGTGAGGAAGGTCATGCTAAGGCGCCTGGCGGGGGAGGTGCAGGTGTGCTGGGAGGGGGGGGCAGAGCGCACAGGGTCCTCCATCCTAGGGGTTTTAAGCTCCAGGGTGGGGGTCATTATCCAAGGCAGCTGGTCCTGAGGGCAGCTCTGGCTGGTTTTGTTGCTTTCCTGGGCCTGGAGCTGAAATACAACTGAGGCCTAGCTATTATCTCTAAGGAGGAGAGGTCAGGGGGTCCAAACCACATGACCAGCAATACGCTAGGAGAGGAAAGGCCACCCTAGGGGCGAGGTCCCACCCTACAGTTGTCATTTGCTAGGCATCCAGGTCTTTCCATCCTGGTGACCTCCTGTACCTAGCGCCCATCATACTTGCTCTGCTCATGTCTGCCTAACTGCCCACACAAGTTAAGAGAGAGTGCAGGGCAGGCCGGCTGGCTCCTGGAGGGACTGGCTCGGGACAGGGTCTGCCTGGCCCCACCGAGAGCGGGGGTCCTGTTGTCTTTTTTTTTAAATATATCTTTATCGATTTCAGAGAAAGGAAGAGAGAGGGAGAGAGATAGAAATATCAATGATGAGAGAGTCGTCACTGATTGGCTGCCTCCCGCATCCCTTGACCAGGGATCAAGCCTGCAACCTGGGCATGTGCCCAACTGGTGATCTCCTGGATCCTAGGTCACTGCTCAACTGCTGAGCCATGCCTAGCCAGGCTCCTGTTGTCTTCTTAATGCCAGATCTGAGTCTGGTCCCCACACTGTTTCACCTAGGAAGGGGCCTTCCAGGACAGGAGGGTGGGTGCCCTGTATACCTACTGATGCCCCTCTTTCCCACAGTGGTGGCCCCCAGTGCCCGCCTGCCCCATGTGAAGCAGTATGAGGTAGTGTGGCCCCAGCGCCTGCCAGGATCCCGTGCCCGCCGAGCCCTGCCCTCTGACTTGGTGAGTCTTGGCCAGAAAATGGTCTGGTGGTGGTGTGGGGAGATCCCTCCCTGGCCCCATTTGTTAGAGGAATGTAGCTTCTGTGTGTCCCAGCCAGTTGTCAGGGGCCAGCCTTGGGGCTAAGGGCCAGGTGGGCTTCGGGGCTTTGGGGCAGACCCCTGAGGGGGCCTCACTGCCCACCTGGGTCCCTCATCCTGGACTCCTCCTGTTTTCTTGGCTCAGGATCTGTACCCAGAAAGTGTGAGTTATGTCCTTGGTTCCTGGCTTGTCTTTCCCCCTTAAGGCCTCACCTTCCTACATCCTGCCTCTCCCTGTGGGCAGGGCCATGGACTGGCTCAGGCCACTCCCCAGTTTTGCTCCGCAGTGATAAGTCAAATTCCTCTTGGACTAGAGGGGCGTGTGGCTCCCTGAGGGCCTGTTGCCTTGTGTGGTTGCAGTGACACACCTTTTGTAGGGACTTTTAGGGCTGGGCTGAGATTCCCCAGAGCTGCCTGGAGTCATTCTTAGAACCCATGTGGGTGTGTACATTGAGTGTGTGTGTATGTGTGAATGGATATGCCTACCTGTATACTGGAGGACAGCCCTGTCCTGTCTTTGGTGTCTGGGAAGAGCACTGAGTGAGCCCCTTGGACCCTTACCCTACCCTGAGGGCAAGGTGCATACTGTCCCTGACAAGAGGTGGGGAGGGCACCTGGGTCTGGAGGGGCTAACCCACCCATACCTCCTTTGCTGCCTGTAGGGCTACATTCCCCTTCCCCTAGCTTCCTGGGGTTGGGGCATCATTGTCATTGACCTTGTGTGGACAGATGGGGAAACTGAGGCCCAAGGCCTGCCCAGGACCCCTGCATTACAGCCCAGCCTGGCCCACCATCCTTCACTAGCCTGATGCTGAGTGACTCCCAGGGTCCTCTGAAGGGCTTTCAGGCTGGGGGGTCCTGGCCTTGGGCTGCATCCCTGTCAGCTGAGCTCCACCCAAGGTTTGAGGTGGACATGGCCTGAGGCCAGGCCCCTCACCCTGGACCCTTCCTGTTTTCCTGGCTCAGGGCCTGTATCCAGAGAGTGTGAGTTATGTCCTTGGTGCCCGAGGGCACACCTTCACTCTGCACCTGCGGAAGAACAGGTGAGCAGGGGCTTGGGCCTGCCCCAGCACACCCGTATCCTGGGCATTCAGCTCCCCTGCAGTTTCTCCTCCATGGGGGGAGGCAGGTGGGGCCCAGGGAGCTACACTGGTTCTTTTCTAGGGACCTGGTGGGCTCGGGCTACACGGAGACCTATACGGCTGCCAATGGCTCCCAGGTGACTGAGCAGCTGCAGAGTCAGGTACGGCCCCGGGGGCCTCCCCAAGGTGGCTGGGGCTCTGGGAGTGAGGCCTGCAGAGCCCTCATGCCTGCCTCCCGCAGGATCACTGCTTCTACCAGGGTCACGTGGAGGGGCACCCTTTCTCTGCTGCCAGCCTCAGCACCTGTGATGGCCTCAGGTGGGTGCTCCAGACCTGGGCAAGGTTGATCAGAATGTCAGGGCCCCAGTGCACTTCTCACCTTCCAGAAAAGTGAGCTGAAGCTGAGAATAGAGGGGCCAGACTTAGGGATACTTTTCTGTACCTGGTATCTGGGCTCTTCTTACAAGTTACAGGTTCCTGACCCACAAGGCTCCCACTGGGCCCTAAACACTGTTGCCCTGCATGTCCCAGAGCAGAGTGGGCCCCTCCTGTCCTTCCAGGCCTTCTGTCCCTCCCTGGGCAGCATGCAGGGAGCGGGGCACTGATTCAGGGCCACCTGTTCTCCTCTACCCACAGGGGCTTCTTCCGGGCGGGCTCAGCTGTCCACCTGATTGAGCCCCTGGGTGGAGGTGGCGACGAGGGGCAGCACGCGCTCTATGAGGCACAGCACCTGCAGCAGAAGGCGGGGACCTGTGGGGTCAGCAACACCAGCCTGGAGAGCATCCTGGGCCCTCGGACCTCGGCAGCTTTCAGGCCCCGGGTGAGGAGGCCCCACTCATCTTGATTCCTGTCCTCTTGGGCCTATGTGTCCCCCAGTCTCCTTGTGTGCTCAGCAAGTGAGGGTGCTGCCTGCCGTCCCTATGGCTGGTGGGCCTGACTCTGCCCAGCAGCTGCAGAGATGGCTCCTTAGTCCGTGCTGGCATCTCCTAGACAGGTCCCCCAACACTGAGCAGGGGCCCCTGGAAATGGTCTGTGTGGAGCCTGGGCCAAGGTCAGGAGGGCTGTGGCTGGGGCTGCTGACCAGCCTCTCGTTGCCGTTTCACAGAACCGGCCAGTATCCCAGGAGACCCGCTATGTGGAGCTGTATGTGGTCACAGACAGCAGAGAGGTGCCGT